TGTGTGGTCGGGCGCAGGTCAGGGCCGGTGCCCCGCTATTCACCCCCCAAACCCCAAGGTCTAACTTCAGCCCCCGGGTCTGTCAGTCCTGCCAGTTGCCTGGCCCGCTCGGGGCCTGGGAACGGCCCTCTCCCTGTGAGCAGAGGAAGAAACAGGCCTGGGAGGCCTCTCCCAGGACCAAGACCTGGTGTCCTCTGTTCTGGGGTTAGTGCCAGCACAGTGCTCCTCGGACCCACAGGGACCGTGCGGGCTGCTCCCATCCCGGTGCCCCGTGCCTGCAGACCAGCACCCCCATCCTCTCCCCCTCCTGCGGTTCCTGTGACGCTCCTCACTAACCCGCTGAGTCCTGGGGGACAGGCCTCCCAGCTTCGGGGCTCCAGCCCAAGCCCGGCCAGCCAGAGGCCTGTGTGGGTGCGGGTGGGTGGCAGGGTGGGTGGCAGAGCGGGCGGGGGACCAGGAGGAGGTGGGCACTGGCAATATCGCTTTTGCCCCAAGACAAGCATGAAACCTATTTACACGCGGCTGCAGAGGCCAGTGCCACGTGGGAACTGCTCAGAGCTCTGTCCTGTCACCCGCTGACCTCCGAGGTCATCAGGGTGAAGACCCAGGTCCGTCTGTCCTCTGGACTCGGGAGCTCAGGTGGCCAGCTGGGTGGCCTCTAGCTTAACTCAGAGATGCATCCGGAGCTGGGAAAGCGAGGCCCGCGGCCGTCGGTGATTCCTCAGGAGCTCCCTGTGCGTGTGGAGAGGAGCCTGTAGAAGGTGGGGGGCGGTGCCCCAAGATCCCAGCATGGACTCCTCCTTTCCCGCCGGCTCCTCTCGTGGAAGGAAGAAACAGGGCAGGGGCCGGGCAGGTGAGGGGAGAGCAGGGACACAGGCACCCCACCGCCAGGTCGGGCCCCGCAGGTCAGGGTTCTGGCGCAGTGACCACAGTCCTGGGTGCCCTTCTGCACGTGCGGAGCCGCCCTCCCCACCGGCTCTCCCGGGCCCCTCCTGCGGCCACTGTCCCCTGGTGTGGCGGCCACTGTCCCCTGGTGTGGCGGCCACTGTCCTCTGGTGTGGCGGCCACCTGCACTGCAGCCACAGCCTGAGCTCCTGGAGGCTGGGGCCCGGCCTCGCCAAGAGGGTGCGGGGGCCGCCTGTGCTCAGCACCAGCCTTTGAAGGGGTGCCCTCTGGGAAGGGGTGCTAGCCTGGCTGCCCCCACCATGATGGGCTTTGTGCCCCTCCAGCCACGTTGCCCAGTGGTGCCAGGCTTGGGCTGGGGGTGGGGCTGCTCTGGAGCAGGACGGCGTGGGCGTCTCCAGGCCCCTGAAGGCAGCCCTCGCCCGCCCCCGCCAGGCCCGAGCTGTGGCACGTCTGTTCCTCCGCCAGGCCCTGGCACAAGCGCCTGAGCCTCCTAAACATCAATCACCAGGAGTTTGTTTGATGACAGATCAGACAGCGCTTGGCACTTTCTAAACAGCGGCTGGCTCTGCGAAGCTGGTGCGGAAGCCAGCTCCACCCAGGGCTGGTGGGGAGGGGCTCCCCGGCCTGCTCCTCGGCTGGACGCCCCGGCAGCCTGGGGGGGCCTGGCTCTCCATTTCTTGAAGGGGCTCCTTCAAGTCGTGTGTGCTCAGCTACCATTCTCCCTACCCCAACCCACCCCGGGTCCTGCCTGCACCTGGGCCGCTCCTGTCACTGCCTTGGTCACTCCGGGATGTAAGCGCCTTCTCCTGGCCGTCTGCTTTGAGCTGAGTGCCAAGAGGGCAGGGACTTGGTCTTGGCCAGCACCCAGGGCCGGCCTTGGCCCGCAGCAGATGTCCAACAAAGCTTTGCCCACTGCCAACGAGCAGGTGGAGCTGGAGGGGACTGGCCAGGCCACAGGGCTAGTGCGAGGCTCTCCCGGCCTCCCCTGCTGCCCCGGCCAGCTCTGACTTATTACTGAAGCGCGAACTTCGGTGGGACTGGGAAGGAGAGCTGAGCGCCCCCCTGGTCCCCACCCCCGTTCCTGCTTTCAGGTGTCCTGCCTGAGGAAGGGGTGCTGGTGCTGCCCACCCTCCGAGCAGCTCCCCAGGCTGACTGCCCGGCCCTCCCAAAGCCTCCCCCGCCCACCAGGTGCCCACGGGCAGGAATGAGAAGCAGCCCTGCCCTTGGTTCTGGCAGCAAAGGCATCAGGGCCCCGAGGCTGCTGAGCAGGAGGTGAAGGTCAGGGGTCCCAGCCCTGCCTCTCCTGGCTACTGACCTTGGGAACCTGCGGTTCTTGTTGGGGGGGGGGTGCAACAATAGTACATCGGGCATCGGGAGGATTCAGCGAGAAAATGGCTCTCAGTGCCTGGCAGGTGCCCGTCTCCCCCGTTTGCCCCAGGAGACCTCCCTTCCCCTGAGAGGTGGCAGCGCAAACAATCACCAGCAGGGGGAGACCTTCCCACTGAGATGGCAGTCCCTGGGCCCGTGGGGTAACAGCCACCAAACTCCTCCAGGTCCAGCCCTAGGGAGTCGGGACCCTGGAGTCCCTGGAAATTGGGGGTGGTACAGGCCCTTGGATGCCCAGAAAATCAAGAGGCCCTCACTGGCCGGGCCCAGACCAGTGATTTGGGACCTGTCCCCTCTCCCTACAAGCAGAGAATGGAGTGGGGCAGGGCTCCGGCTTCCCCAGAAGAGCAAGAGGCTGGGCACAGCAGCCAAGGGCGTGGGGACCTCCCAGGCCTGCGGGGATATGGGGTGGGTGATGGGGGACATCAGGGGACCAGCCTCAGCCACCCCGCTTGAGTTCGGCAGGCAGCCGAGCCACAGCCTGGCCCGGGCACGTGGCCAGGGCAGCCCTCAGCACCAGCTGCTCCTCAGGGCTCCTGGGGGAGAGGTGGGACCTCCAGGCCCGTGGAAATGAGGGAGGGGCGTCGGGGGACCAGGGGGGGCCGGCTTCAGACCCGACTCATATGTGAATATTCCGCTGTATGCTAGAAGGGCTCCGGGGGCGCCGCCCCCTCTTCTCTGTGCCCCTATAACGCCAGGTGCTTGGACTGGCAAAGAGGAGGGGCCGCCAGGAGGCCGTGGCAGGCTCCTGGCCAGGAGGAGGCAGCCCCGGAGCCGAAGTCTGGGCAGGTGGGATTTGGGGTGGTTTGCCCCGCCCGCATCGGAGGCAAATGGGGGTGCAGGGTCAGGGTGAAGGTGAGGTGTGACCTCACCTGCCCAGGGGCCTGGGGTCGGGGCTGGCCGGGCCCACCCCACGCGGGAGCGGGCCAGCCAGGTGCGC